CGGCCCCGAGCTGCACTCCGTCTCAAACCCGAGCGGCGTTTTCCACCGACTTGGGGACAGGGGAGGAGACACGGAGACCGCCCGCAGGGCGCTGGGCCGCCCCGTCTCAGGCAGCCGGGTGGATACGCGGCGGCCCTGGGCGCTGCAGCCAGCCCCGGGCTCCGTGCCGGGCCGGCGGTGTTCTGGATGCACGCCGCCATCTCCCCACCACCGGGTCCCGGAGCCGAGCCCAGACAAGTGCAGATCAGGAGTGACCGGCGGCTTCTTCTCACTGAGTCCCCTCCTCCCGCCGGTGTCAGCCTGTGGTCGGGGGGCGGTCGCCAGAGAGCGCCAGACCTCGCGGCCCACCTGGGGTGACCTGCCCCTCAGCACGGGGCTCCGGCGCCGGACCCTCCACAGCTGCAGCGCGGTCCCCGGACGGGTGGTGCGCACAGAGCTCATGACGTCACGCCAGGCCTGCAGCCCTCCTGCCGCAGACGGCCGGCCCGAAGGGGAGCCGGCCAGCAGCGCCCTGACCCGAGGGATGCGCTGGGCAGGGAAAAGGCTGTGCTGGCCTTCGGGTTCACGGGAAGGTGACTTCGGGACTGACCGCACGTTCCACGGTGTCTCGGTCGCACTCACACGCCGATAGCACAAACCCTCACTCAGCTGGAGAGACAAGGCGGACGGACTCCCGTGTGTGGGTGCCAATGGTGCCTCTGAAGGTGGGTGTCTGTCTGTTACGCCCACTCGCCGCACGGAGGCCCGGCCCGGCTTCCTGTCTCCAGGGCCCAGAAGCGCCGACCGAGCTCGGGTCCTTGCTGCCGGCGTCTGGGAGGCGAGGCCTATCTACCGCCAGCGCCGAGGGGACGCCCCACGGAGGAGCTCACGGGCGGCTCAGGGAGGGGCGGCCGCTCACCTTGCTCAGTTTCCCCACGGACGCCGAGGGGCTCGGCCCTGCACGTTGTGCTGCATGAACTGCCCCCCGCCCCCGACACAGTCTGGGTTTCGGTAAGACGGTGCTCCAACTTCCCTCGAGGTTTTCCCACTTGGCCTCCTTAACCTTTAACCGTGCAGCCGTACGTGTGTTCATGGGCTACCTCAAGCAGGTCATGAGCTACGACACCGATTAACGTTCATGACGCGGTCCCCTGCTGCTCGAGGACACAGTGTTGCAAGTGAGGCGGACCACCCAGTGAGGGGGTAGAACCTGAATGCCCACCCGCCCCCGTTTTGAACCAGGACCCTGAACCGTGAGCTCCTTTTCGCGTCCTTGTCCCCCCCCAGGGGCTCTCTGGTGGGGGGGGGGTCTCCCCGCCCTCTGTCTCGCCTTCCTGCCAGCCCGGAGCCCCGGCCCTTTCCACTGGAAACAGGTGAGGGGTCACCGGTGCCAGCAGCTCCCACGGGAGGCCAGGACACCATGAAGCCGGCGGCCGGCCCCGGAGGGCCCCATGGCGCGTGTCCCGCCAGCAGCCCAGAGCACGCGGAGCCCATGCTTGAGACCTGGTTCCTTGGGCGTGTTCTCGCCGCCAAGAGCGAGTCCAGGGGTGAGTGTGTGATGACGGAAGGAGACCGGACTTGGGACGGTGGGGAGGTCACAGGGTGCAGCCGAGAGGGGGCCCCAAAAAGGGATGTGTAACAGGGTCCAGAAGAGCTTGGAGATGATTGGCCCCACACCACAGGGCTGCACCCGCCCAGAAGGCGGGCGGCTGTGGCCAGTTGTGGGAGGAGCCGGAAACGGGGCTGCAGAGGAAGATTGGCGCTGGGGTTTAAACAGAGGCACAGCAGCCATTGGGCGTCTCTCTTTTTGGGACCACGTGTCTGTTTAGGCCCACGCGGCTTTGGTGTCTTGTTTGGGACCGTGAGGCTTGGGTGAGAGTCAGGACCACGAGGCTTTGGAGGTGCTCCCCTTTGCCACGTGGAGGGTGCCGGGAGGACTGTGTGCATTTGTGGGGAACTTCAGTTTGTGTTATTTCAAATGAATAAATTCCTCTCCTTTTCATGGATCTCTGGCATCGAGAGATGTCTTTCCTCTGGCGGCCGGGAAAACGAACCCAGAAGGTGGGGAGGAACCCCCCGGAGACTGGAACAGGGACACAATGCAACACACAGACGGTGTGTCCTAGAGCTGAAGGCTGGAAACCTGTACGATCTTATTAACCAATGTCACCCCAATCAACTTAATAAAATGAGAGAGAGGGAAAAAAAAAGATTAATGGTGGGCAGCATTTTGTCATTTGTTATCAAAGTTCCTGAAAATTGTTTTGATCTTTGAGGCTGTGGATTCCACACGCCTGCCTCAAACTGTTCTTTGCGTGTTCAGATAAAAACAGAAACTTCAACATATTAAAGCAACGCCATGTTACTCGGCTGCGAACCGATGGGACCGACGAACGAGATGGAGGTGGCAGCCCTGACAGGGATACGTGTACCGGAAATCACCGCTGAGCGACCGGGAAGCTCCGGCGACCCCGCAGAAACCCGCCCGGAGGCAGCCCCGCTGGGACGCTCGGGGGGGGGCGGGGTGCCGGGTCTCCGCAGAGGCCGTGCGTGCGCCGCGGAGGGCCCGTGGGTGGGGTCGGCGGGGCGGGGCTTTCGGAGCAGGAAGCCTTTCGGAACCAGAACAAAGCGCCAGACAGAACCGGAGTCTCTCAGGTGTGAAGCGGCAACACTTCGGCGATGCCGGCACGTGCGTGCACCTCACCCCCTAGAAGAAGCACCTGCTCAGGTCAAGGAACTCAAACGTTGCCCCTTCGGTGAAAACCTCTGGTGATATGGAGACTTCGACGCACGAGCCCACAGGCCCACCTGGTGCTCCCAGAGCCCCGGGAGAGGACCCGCATCTGGGGCAGGTCCCGAGCTGGTGGCTGGTGCCGCGCAGCGCTGCCCGAGACCCTCCCTGTTGGAGCCGCGGAGGAAGGAGCCTGCACCCGTGACGCGGGCCGTCCGGAGCTCCCGGTGCGTCGGCGGGCCAGGAGACAAGCTGTGCCTCTGCCCTGGGGCGGGTCTTCGGGCTCCGCCCCTCCTCCCAGCTCCCACTCACCGCTCCCACCCGAACAGCAGGAATTCTAACAATCACACACACGGCGACTCATGGTATAAAAACCGTACCATTAGAAAATGCTGAGTTAAAACGTGTGTTGGAAGATTCCCCACTTGGATGTCTCTGTGGGTCTTCCCCACAGCCCCACCTGCTCGGCCCCTCCAGGATCCGGGCGCCCTGTGTCCCGTGAGAGTCTCCAGGATCCGGGTGCGCCATGCCTGGGAGAGCCTCCAGGATTCAAACTCACTGTGCTCGGGGGAGCCTCCAGGACCCGGGCGCCCTGTGCCCGGGGGAGCCTCGAGTCTCAGGCCTCCCTGGAGCCACACGCAGCCTGAGCCTCAGCACCTGCTCGAGGCAGGGAGGGGGAGGGGGTCCAGGGCGGGGGTGCACGCGCACGTCCGGCCTCAGTGGGTGGAGCGCTCCTTGGCGGGAACACGTGTGTCTGAAAGAATTCTCTGGAAACTTCATGATTTTTCCTGCACAACTATGGTTATGAGATTATATCTATCTGATACCTAATTTAAACTTTTTGGCAAAACCTAATCGTGTCTTTAACTGTGTGATAAAGTGTAACTAACTGCTGACTAATTGGGAGATGATTAGAGGAAAATTAGATTTTGCTTACGGGTTGCTAACCTGTTTGCCACTGAAAACATAAACAGGGTCGTTTTTCTAAAACTTTTAGATGAAGATTTACATAAATGCCTCTTCATAAAACAGCATAAATTCTTTAAGTCAACTATTTAAGTTACGTAGTTCAACAATTTACTCTTCTATACGGTCACAGTACTAATAAGTTAAGTGAAACAGTTTAAGTCACGGAGTTTCCTTGACAACACTTGCTGATCCTCCGGCACACACAGAGCAGAGGTCCGAGGACCACTTCACCACGGATGCTCATGGCAAATCCCTGCGCCTTAAACGCCAGTGCAGTGTGGGGCATGGGGAGTCATTCTGTGATTTTCCCCTCGATTTTACTGGGGGACATTCAAAACAATTGCTTGATTCTGCCCATAAATTAACGTTCCCCCGGAAGGGCCGCAACTGTGGCCGTGAGGAAGGGCGCCCCGGGAGCTGCAGGCACCTGATCCAGCCCCTCGGCCCCCATTCGGGGGCCCGGCTCTGAGGGTGCATCCGGCTGAACCACCTCGGTCTCCGTGTGTGAAAGCCAGGTGCACATTTAGTACAGCCCGTGGGCACTTCTAGCCCAGGACACCAGTGGGGACCCCCATCAGAGAGCCCGGCCGCTTCCGCGCCCGGGAGCGGAGCTCCCCTTCCTCGTGGAGGAGGCCGTCCGGAGGCCTGACTCTGCGCAGCGCCCCTCAGCCCTGCGGAGCCCGCGGGGCGCTGGGGATGCACCTGCAGCCCCGAGTAGCCACCCCCCTTTCCGGACGCTCTCCACGCCCGTCTCCTGACAGGCCCGTGCCCCAGCATTCCTGGGGAGGAGGTAACCCTTGCAAGCCCCCAGTTCCCCTCGGGCGACCTGCCCTGCTCCCCTGCACATGCCCCGCACTGCAGGCGTCCCCGCTGCCGCCCGGGCACTGGCCGGGGTTGGTGCCCCAGGCCAAACTGTTGAATTACGGAAGCCACGTGCCTGCCGAGAGACCCGAGGGCCGCACTTGGGTTTACTAGTCCCCGTCCCACAGCCACCTGCACGAGGACACTGGGGGGAGGAGCAGCGCCCCCCCCGCCGGGACCGTGTGGGAGGCGGCCAGCACTCTGTCCCCACGCGTGCGGCACAACGGGCTTCGGGCTGATCTGCACGCGTGTCGTCTCAGGAATTACCGCGCACTCCGCCCCGGGAGAGGAAGTGCAAACTGCTTACACTTTGGGGACCTGTACCAGAGACCCCTGACTGAGTTCCCGTCAAAGAGGAGAAAACTGTGGCGCCTGTCGTCCCCCAGAACGCCCGCCCGCCCACCGGTCTGCGTCGCCCGGGGCACCCCATGCAAGGAGGAGAAGCGCGGGCGTCAGTTACCTTCTGTGTCTCGCGTATTTGCCGCTGACGTGGCCGCTGCCGTCGCAGCCGGGGGTGGGGCAGCTGCAACAGGAAAGGGCTGATCACGCAGTGCCGCAGGCGGGCGCGGGTCTGACCCGACGCTGCGGTGACGGGGGGGGGGCGGGGGCAGGGGGGGAGGGCCACACGGACGGACAGAGAGACGCGCACATGGTGGGGGGGTTGGGGGGTCAGGGGCGCTGCTCACTAGGGACTCCCGGGGAGGCGGCCCCATCCGCGCGACAGGGCGTGGGCCGGCCGCGGGCACCGGGGAGGGCGCGGCCCCACGGAAGGGCGCAGCTTGGCTGTGGGGGCCGGGACCCGCTGGGCACTGACCTGAACAGCTCCTGGATGGCCGGCTCCACGGGCACTGCAGAGGGAAACAGACAGACACGTGTCATCCCCCACGAGCACCCTCTCCCGCCGGACGGTCCCCGGGGGCGGGCGGTGTCAGGGCCGCAGCCAGGGCGCACCGGGCCGACGGCGTCTGCGGGATGCAGGGACCCCTGCCCGGGGCTCGGGGGCTCGGGGGTGCGTGGACGTACCTCGGACCCCTTTGGACCGCGTGCGGTGGCGCTTCTCCTCCGTGTCCACCTCCATCTGGGGACAGATGGGCAGGCGGTCAGTGCCCCTCGCCGGCAGGCCCTCGGTCGGCGGGCGGGCACCGGGCCCTGGCATTTTAGTGCCAGCACTCGGCTCCTGTCCCCCCCCTCGGCCGGGGAGGCCTCCACCTGGGGCTGGGGGTGGGGGAAGCATCCAGCACCCGCAACGTGTCGGAGAGGCCGGGCCGGACGGTGGCCTCGCAGGGGACGCTCCCAGGAGTCCCCCCGGGTGGCAGACGAGCCCTGAGCTCAGCCCGGCTCCCCCCTCCCGGAGGGCCGGTGGGGCGTGTGGGGCTGGTTCTGAGCCGAGCTCTGTGCCGAGAGGGCCCCACGGCCCGGCGTTTGCAAGAAGGTTCTGACCGATGGACCCTCCCTGGGCCCAGGAGGGGCCCTCTGCCCACACCCGCGAGACAGGGGAGGGGAGGGGAGGGGTGGGCACCAGGGATGACGTCAGACTCAGGGGGGCTCTCGCTGCCGTCCAGCTCCCGGGGGGCAGTCACTGTCCGCAGTGACCTCACTCATCGTCGGGGGACTTTTCGGGGGCTCGGCCCTTTCTCACGGCGACCCCCCACACGTCTTACACCCTGGGGATTGCCAAGCGCTTCCACGTGTGGCCGGGCACGCCCCTCGCCACAGCTCTGGGAGGAAGGGGCCTTCATCGGGTCACCTCTACAGACCAGAACGACCCAGGGTCGCCCGAGAGGAAGTGTGGGTGCAGGGCCCGGGAACCAGCAAGGAGCACACTGACTGCGGCTGGGGGGACACGTGGTTGTGTTCTGTGCACGGAGTGCTTCCCCAGCACGAGAACACTGCACACTTCACACGTGGAAAACCGCACACGGGAGACTCCTGTCCCCGCAGCAGGGCCGGTGGGGAGGAGCAGGGAGGGGGCGGTGGACCCTCGGGCGGCCGCGGTGGCACCCCCACTCAGCCCCCTCCGGACGCCCACGTCCTGCCTGAGGCGGCCAGCGCGGCCCTGCAGGGTCAGCTGCGTGCCCAGTTCCTCTGGTCCCAGAAGCCACGGTCGCCGGGGGCGGAGAGGGCAGCCCGGCCGGGCCCGGCCGCTGCAGCAGAAAGCGGACGGCTGACAGGGCGCGGCCCCCGCAGGGAGGCCACCAGGTGCCACAGCCTCACGTGGCAGCTCCCAACACCCCGTCCCCATCACCTGACCGCCGAGCGTCCGCGGCACAGCATGCTGAGAGCACGTGAGGACAGAAACAGTGTCTGCGCCCTTGGTGGGCCTCGTGTCTGCCCGTGGGAGACCTGCCCGTCCCCACGCAAGACTGCGGTGAGATCCCATAGGAACTGCAGAAGAGGAGGGGCCCGAGAGAGGGGGGTCCCCGCGGGGGGCCTGCCCAGGAAAGCGGCGAGGCCGGGGGGTCACCTGAGCGTGGGAGGGAGGCAGGGAGGGGGGAGACTGTCCCTGGGCTCACACACAGACGCTGCACGGGCCGCGGTTCCGTGAGCGGCTGGACCGGAGCGCGTGAGGCTGTTGCCGGGGCGACGGCAGGCCCAGGAGCTGGCAGGAGGCAGGTCCCTGCCGAGAGGACAGGGTGGGGTGCTCGACAGAGCAGGGTGGGGTGCCCTGGGGCCGCCCGGGGGGGTGGCAGTCACCTGGCACGCACGCAGCTGGGGCCCCCTCGGGCACCGTGGGGTGGGCAGTGGGGGGGGGCGGCACCTCGAGAGCAGGTGTCAGAGAGGCAGTGGATGGCGGCCGAGAGAGCGGGGAGGGGTCAGGGGTGGGGTCAGGAGAACCGCGAGGCCATGAGGGTCACTGAAAAGATGGGGCTGCCACGGCGCCCTGACAAGTCCCGGCCCAGCACCCCGCGGCGGGCGCGGCTGTGCGGGGAAGAGGGCGGTGAGGGGCCAGGAGGTGAACCGAGGAGACACGGGGGGGGAACGCACAGGAGGCACTGCTGTGGCCTCCGCCGCCCACGCTCTGTCGCGGGCTCGCGTGCCCAGGGCGGGACCCCAGGCGCAGGCGCACCGTGGGTCTGCGTGGTGCCACGGCAGCGCCGGGTGCTCAGCGCGCCGGCTGCTCTTTTGGGGGAGCAGCCCCCAAACCCCGCGCTCTCCTCAGGCGGAGCAGAGACAGCGGCCCGCCAACCCTCCAGTGGCACCCGGTGGCGAGGTGCCCGTGGGCCCCGAGGCCGCTCCGTGCGGGGGCAGAGCTCTCCGGGTGCAGCGGGGGTCCGAGGAGAGCTGAGCGCTTGGGCTGGTGGGGGGGCGAGGGCAGACGGCAGGCGCTCTGGTGGGCTGCCCTGAGTGTTCTGACACTGGGACCTGCTCTGCTGCGGCGGGACGGGGGCAGGAGGGACCCCGCAGTCACGGGCCCCACGGTGGGCTCCATCCTGCAGCCACCCCTCAGTCCTTCAGGCAGCAGCTGCCCATCCTGTGCGTTTGCCAGGCCCCATGTCCTCCTCTGGAGGCTCGCCCTGCGGTGGGCTCACTGCTCGTTAGCACCATGGAGAGAGGCAGACGGCAGAGCGGCCGAGGTGTGTTCCGGGCGCCAGGCGGGGACCGGGAGGGAATCCGGGCACAGGACCAGCAATGGGGACGAGACGCTGCTGGCCAAACGCAGCACGCAGGCCACGCCCCTCACAGGTGTCTTCCTGCACCTGCCCTCGTTCCCGTGGGCCCCCGTCTCCTGGGTAACTAACTGAGATGCCCCCACCCCCCCCGACGGCTCTCAGGACAGAAAAAGCCCGCCTGTAAAGGTCGGCGAGCATCAGAAATTCTCCACGGGAGCTCTTGCATGGTGTTTAGAAACAGCGCCATAGCAAACAAATGTTCCCAAAATATGACAAAAGGCTCTGTTTTAGTGAGATTAATGTGGTGCAAACATGTTAAAATTTAGGGTTTCCACCCCATTCGTACCCAGAGACAGACGGAGTTGTTGTTGAGAGGTCGCAGAGTTACAGAGATTTGTAGTAGCTGCAGGGTTTGTGGTTCACGGCATCGTGGCTTACAGTTTTCAATTCTAATTATGTTCGACCTCATGGGATGAAAATAAGGGAAAATCTGGCAGATGAAACAGGAGCAAAGCCTCGGTGTGCCTGGCCCTCCCTCTCCCTCGCCCCCCCCCCCCCCCCGGGGCTTCGTCAGTGAGGGCAGTCCCCTTGCGCGGACCCTCAGCAGGAACAGGCCCCTGCGCCCCCAGGACGCTGGCTGCGCGGGGAGGGCAAGGCCGGGGCCAGCAGTGGGGCGCGTGACCTGAACGGGGAGACAGTCTCTGGGCGAGGAAGGACGGTGACCGTGCAGCTGGCGCCTCCCCCGCCCCCACGGACCACGGGCTCCGACGCCCCCCGCCCCAGACCTCCCGTGTCCCTCCTGAGCCGTGTGTGCGGAGGTGCGCCCCCTGTTGCCCCAGCCCACCTCGCAGGTCCACTCTGTTCCTCTCCACCCTTGGGCCCCGCTGGCCAGCCGTGACCACCCCTGCTCTCCCCTCCCCCTTCCTCCCAGGCATGCTGCACCCTGTGGACGCCACTTCTGGAATCTGTCTCCCAGGCCACGGTGACCGGCTCCCCGAGTGCCCCAGGCCTTATCCGGGCCCGCCCCCGGCCAGGCCTCCGACAGCTCTCCCACTGCCCTGATTCCTGGCTCCTTCCGGCCGAGTTTGCCCCCGGTCTGCGCCCACCTGGCAGACGCCCCTGCCACCCTGCCCACCCCAGGAGGGCCCAGACCCGCGTCACCTACACTAACCACTCCCTGGCACCTCGACCCCCCACTCCTAGCTGCGTCCGGGGGGTGGCCCTCTCCCACCCGAGTCCCCTATAGTGACGACAGTCACGGACTCCTCTGCAGACGCCTCCTTCCCGTCCCGCAGCTGTCGGCGCGGTCCCCGAGGACCCCCGGCCCCGGCGTGCTGCGGGTTTCCTGCTGACGTGTGTGTGCGCTTCCCTGCACTGTGGCCTGGAGCCCCCCCCGCCCCCCCGCCCGGCCGTCTGGAGAGGAGGGTCCGTGGCAGCGACATCCGTCCCGCACGGCCCCGTGGCTACCTCCTCGGTGGACGGAGCGATCGCTCTCTGGCCTGCAGCCCGGCAGCCTCTGCCCGCTCCTCCGCCGAGCAGTCCATCACCAGCCGGGGCTCACCGCTGTCCTCTTCTTCGGCTGCCGCTGCTTTCCGCCTCCCTGAGCTCGGCCGAGTTCAAAGCCCAGTCCGCCCGGACGCGTCGCCGCGGCTGTGTGTCTGGGTGCTTGTCCCTCAGGAGTTGGCTTCCTCGGGGACCCGCTGCGCCCACGGCGGCGAGCGGGGGCCTCATCCGGCATTTCCACTCACGGGAGGGCCCGGAGTGGCTCCTGCTGCCCAGGCTGAGCCCAGGAGACACTGCCCGCCTCTCCCCGCTTTGCCTGCAGACGCACACACGGGCACGCGGGCTGTGCAGCTGGCCGCGAAGCAGCACTCGCGACGGCCGCTCTCCCGGCCGGCCGCCCACGTCCTGCCCGGAGGGAGGGGGCATTCGCTCTGCCGCCCGATGGCCCTGAGGGAGCAGCCGCGCTCCCCGCGCGCACGCCGCCCGCAGCCGTGGCTGAGCTGCCGTCACGGCCCCGAGACACACACACTCTGTTCTGGAAGTCACTGCTCTTCACGTGCCAGACGTCACCACCGCGGTCTCTCCGGGTGCGTGCCTGCGCGCTGAGCTCGGTGTCGGGACGGACACATGACACCCCAGCCCGCACGCCCGCCACTCCCCCGGCCGCCCCGCGGACCCCGCCGGAGGGCACTGGGGCCACCCCCTCCCTCCCTTCAGCCGCTCTGCTCCGCCGTGGGGAGGCCCAGCCTCGCAGCGCGCCGTGCCGCCGTGCCGTTTCCGCAGCGCCGCTTCCTAAAGTGGCGCTGTCAGGCCTGCCAGGCAGCGCAGAAACACCTGCGCTTTCCACGTCGGTAAAAAAGGAACAAGATTTGCTAACGTAAAAAAACGCAGACGCCCGCGCGTCTCGCCTGGGCGGGTCGCATCGCGCGCCTGGCCGCGGCCGACAGCCCTCCCGCCGCGGACGGTGCTGGGGGGGCCTGGGCTCTGTGGGCCCCTGGGAGGTGTCTTCGTGAAGTTGCTGCTCTCGCCCTCGCTTGCTCTTCTTCTTCTTCAAAACCACATCAGTTTGTAATGGCTCCTTGCGTGTGAAGGCATTAGCCCCTGGTCCCTCTCATCTGTGCGAGTGTTTTCTTCTAGCTTCCCTCCCCTTCGCCGGTGGTGGTTCTTCCCACACACGAGCAGAAAGTGTGGGTCAGCCGACCGCCCCTCGCCCCTGGGCAGGCGGGTCCGCCCCAGCCGCTGTGTCTGCCCGGCCCAGGCCTGCTGTCTCCCCGCCCCCCGGCGCTGTCCCTCTGGCGGATGCGGGCCGGGAGGAGACACGGCCCCCCAGGGACAGGCGGCCGGCTCTGGGTCAGCGGCACACGCTGCTCCGCGTCCCCAGGGGCCGGCCGCCGAGACGGGCGCCGGCCCGCACTGTCCGATCCGAGGGAGTGTTCCCCGCTCGCCTTCTCCCGCACCGGATCGCGGATGGAGTGCGGCGGCACAAAAATGAAATTCGACGATTCAAATACGCTTTGACATAGAAACGTATTAACAGAACTGTCCGCTTATATTAATATTTAAATCACCCTGTCACTGTCTGGTTTATAATTGTTTAAAGTTCAATTTTAAAAAGTATTTTAATTATTTTTTGTGGGGCAGGGCACAGTAAAAGAGTAAAGCCAGAGAAGCTACCGGGGCTGTGCCGTCCGCGAGCACCGCGCTCGCGGGAGACCAGGCACCCGGGTCCCACGGAGAGTGTTCAGGGATGAAGTGTCTCGGGTCATTAAATGGGCCGTGCACACGGACTGCGGGGAGAAGGGGCCGGGCCGGACTCCCAGAAACGGAGTTCGGTTTTCCCACGGCGCCCTCGCCCCGCGAGTCCCGCTGTCAGCCCTGCACGAAGCCCCCCAGAGCGCCCCCAGGCGCAGGGGGCCGCGGGCTGGGAGCACCGCTGGGGTCCAGGGGCGCTGGCCAGCGGCACGGCCCTGTCTGAGGGAACAGGGGGTGCCCCTGAGCAGCCTGCGGTGGTGCGGCCTGCGTGGCTGTGGCCGCCTCCCTGGCCGTCACTGTTGGGCACGTGAGTGGGCCGTGGGCCTCTCCCTGGGACGGGCCCCACCCACTGGATGCGCCCGGCCTGTCGGGGTGTCTTCAGAGGGCGTGGGTGGCAGGAGGCACGCAGTGTGGGCAGGCAGCCCCCAGACCGAGGTCCCGGCAGGGAGAGCGGAGGAGGCTCAGGATGGGGAGCGCTGGGGAGGGCGTGGTGGCAGGACGCTGGGGACGACGGTGCTGGAAGGACACGGGGCGGGGGGGGGCGGCCTGGCTGCCCTGGGGAGTGGGCACGCCAGCCTGGGTGAGACCGTCCCGCTGGGGCCCAGGCACCAGAGGGGGGATGTAGGCCTGGACGACGCGCACCTGGCACCCCCCCCACTCAGTCTGAAGGTGGGGTACACGAGGCCGAAGGCGGGACTCGGGGGAGCGGTTCAGGAGGGAGGCCGACCCCGAGTGGACGGCCGTGAGGACAGTGCCGCCCAGGGCTGGCCCCAGGGTGGAGCCAGGGAGAGCTTGAGGGGTCAGTAGGGGTCAAAGAGAGACGGCTGCTCTGGACGCTCGACTCCCAGGACAGGCCGCAGCGTCCGTCCGTCTAAGAGCGAGTGGTGACGAGAACGCAAGAGGAGAGGGCACCGTGGCGGGGGGGTACCTTGGGGAAGAGGGGCAGAGACACCTGTGCTCGGACGGGAGGGGGCAGGAGGCGAGGGTGCGGAGAGGTCGGAGGAGGGTGCTGGGGGGGGCCCCGGGAAGCAGTCGGCCGACAGTGGTCGTCCAGACCGGCCGCCTGACGTGCACCAGGGCCCGCGAGATGGCCGGCCTCGCACCTGCCTGTGGGGCGCACAGGCCCAGGGGCCACCCGGCGGACGGCGCCCCCACTTTACCTTGCAGGGAGTTCTCTCTCCCAGGAGCGGAGGCGGCGTGGCCCCGCGGGCAGGGCCCGGAGTCGGGCTCTCTCTAGGCTCTGGTCCTGGTCCTCCCAGCCCGTGACCGGCGAAGTCACTCAGGTCCTCTGCGCCTCGGTGCCTCCATCTGCAAAGACATGGACGGCAGTGAGACGTGCCCAGGCCTTGCACTAGCACCTCAGGCCTTGCACTGGCTCCTCAGGCCTTGCACTGGCTCCTCAGGCCTTGCACTGGCTCCTCAGGAAGCCACGCGAACGGACAGCGTGCCCTTTGCCGTGGTCGGCAGGGACCCTCCGCGTCCTCCAGGCCAAACGTCTGCTTCCCGGGCACAGCGGCTCCCCAGAGGATGACCCTCCTGGACGCGGGGCTTGCTCCCCCGGCTGGGAGAAAGGGTCCCCCCGGGACGTTCTCGGGCAGTCCTGCCTGGGACAAGCCATCTGGGGACGCTTATCCTGCCAGCTCAGTCCGCTGTGCCATCTGGGAGACGTTCTGCTCCCCCTGAGAACATTCTAGAACCCTTGGTTTCGGGGGCCCAGTGGCCCTCCGGGGGTCCTTCCGTGGCTGGCCCCCCTGCGTCCAGAATGGAAGCGGCCCACCCGCGGCTGAGCGGTGCAGACCGGACCCAGAGTGGGCGCTCATCCCCACCTGGTCCGACCGCCCTGGGGCTGCAGGGCGGGGCTGACCTCCGTCAGCTCGCAGGGCTACTGGAGTTCAAGGTCACGACCTTCCTATCCGCTATGCCATTTGCCCACCAGGCTTTCTGCTGCTTTTGTGAAGGGAGAAACTGACACAAAGAGAGATCGGAGCATCTGCTCAGAGCTCCCCAGTCGGCGCAAGGGGCGGGCGCCGTGCTGGAAACGGGCTCTCTTGTCCGCAAACCCCAGGCTCCCACGGGCCAGAGCCCCCTTCAAAGAGACCCTGCTGTGAGAGGCCTTGCCCTGCAAGGTCGAGGCGTAGGGCAGACCTGGGCACTGGGGCCGGGAACGCCTTCGGGTGGGGGGCCTCAGCTCACGCGTGCCCTGGGTGGGGACCCCAGGGGGCTCCTTCCTCCGCAAGGACCCATGCCCCTGCCCACGGGACTGCCCACGGTCGCTCCACACCTGTGCAGCCGGAGGGCCGGGAGCCTGGTGGGGTCGGAGGCCACGCACTCAGGGTCTGCAGGGCCTTGCTGGCGCTCCCAACCAGTGGCTGGTGAGGGTAACCAGGGCCCCCACCAGCTGCCACCCCAGCCCCCTGTGTCGCTGCTCAGGAGGGTAGCAGACAGCTGGACGGCCGCGGGCCCTGAGCAGCAGGAGGGCCACAGTCCATCCGGTTTTGGGGGGCCAGGCTAGTCGGCTGGCCTGCTGGCCCTCGGGCCCGGGCTGCAAACCTTCCTGCAAACACTTGAAGTTCCCCAGGGAGGGCCTCACGCCACAGACAGCGGCCGAGTGCTCAGACACACGTGTGTCTGGGCCAGGCCGAGGGCTCCGGTCCACAGGAGGGTCAGAACGGTGCGTCCCCAGAAGGGGAAAGCGATTAGGCCAGATTTGCCTTTTCTGTTTTCAACTTTGCTACCTAAAGCAAAAGACCCCCTCCCCACTCCCTCCCTGGGGTCTAATAATTCCCCCTGAACCCGACGATGAGCACGTCCTCTGCCTCAGGGCCCAGCCCCGGGGCGGCGCACCCCTCGGGAGCGGGGAGAATTCCACCTGTCCCTGCGGCTTAGGTGTCGTCACCTGCGGGCGGCCAGTATGGGTTTGTTGAGTGCGTGGCAAAGAGAAAAAAGAAAAAAGAAAAGAAAGAAAGAAGAAAGGAGAGAAGGAAAGGAGGAAAGGCGGAGGGAGGGAGGAGGGAGGAAGAGACAGCACTCCCACTGAGGTCTGCGGGAGGAGTTCCGATTCTAACGGACGGGCTGTGTTTGTCACAAAGGTGACTCGGCCGTGCAGGGAGGCGGATGACGGCCCACGACCTGAGACCACGCGGCGACACCACCGCACCGCCCCCTGGCCTGAGCGTGTGGCTCTACACGCATGTGCCTCCACCAGAACTTGCACTCGCAGGACTCAGTCCAGGTCGGCCAGGCTCTGGCGCCGCCCCCTCCCCCGGCACCGTTTGCCGGTAACCGCCGCCCACGAGAGCGGCCACGCCACAGGCTCCTGGGATGGCGGGCAGATCCGGCCGCCAGCACAGCGCAGCAGCCCCGCCGGCCACTCACGTCCCTCCCCTGGGACTTGAGCCTGGAGACCCTGTTTTCCTGCCCAGCCGTGGGGGGGCTTGAGCACCTTCTCTCCACCGGCAAGTGGGGACTTAGCTACTCTGCAAACAAGCCCACCCTTCAGAGCCGCCTGTCACGAAGAGAAGCCCTGCCCCCCGCCTGCAGCTGCACCTGAACAGGGCCACCCGAAGGCTGCCGGGGTTCAGGGTGAGGGGGAGCAGGCCTCTGCCCCCGGAGGCCCCGCAGACGCCAGGGCACGGCCTGCTGTCCTGAGTGGTGGGGGCGGTGGTGGGGGTCCTGGGGACGCAGGGCTGAGCAGAAGTCAGGGGGAACCCAGGGCCCTCCGCACCGCTGCAGCGGCAGGAGGGGGAGGTGCCCCCAGGTACCAGGGAACCTGCACAGAGGCAGGCTTAGAAGGTAATAAAAGGAAGATAACATTCTGAATCAAGAGGGAGGAGCTGGCCTGCTGGCTGAACCAAGGGAAATAACCCCACAGAACGCACACACGCACCCACAGGTGTGGTATGAATACGGTATGGAGACGCAAGGGCACACGGGACCGACCAGAAGATGCACCTGGGAAGTCGGACCCGTCCTGTCAGTCACGGCCACGGCGTCCTGACATCTCTCAGCTGGGCCACAGCTGGTGGAAGCGGACCCCGAGTTTCTCGGTGTGGCTTCTCCTACGCAGATGGCCATGAAGAAGCGTCTCCAGCCTTGAACTACAACGTGCAGGCAGGGACACGAAAACCGCGCTAAGCGTCGAGCCCAAAGGCCCCCCACCAGCGGTGCCGCCTCCCTGTTCCCGTGGCTGGCGTGGGGGCGGCTCCCCCGGGGCTCTGCCCCAGCCACGTCCCCGACCCGCCACAGGCGCTCCTCTGCCGCCGCCGCAGCCTGGCGACCGCTGTCTGAGAGAGGGGGACCTGGGGGGCCACCCGCGTGCCCAGCAGCATGGACGGCTGCTCCGGGTTTCCTGGGTCCCCGCCCGGCAGCAGCGGGTGGGAGGTCTGGCCGTTCACTCCCGGCAGACCCGAGTGTGGGTCCGATCCGTGCCGGCTGGCTCCTTGGTCTGCGGCACCCACGGCGCCGCGTCCCGGGGCCCCTTTCTCCGCGGGACAGTAGCCCCGGCCCACGGGGCTGCGGGCGCGGTCAGTGAGGGGACGCACGAGGCACCCAGCTCGCGACCCTGGCCTGTCGAGTCCACCGTCTTCCCAGGTAACATGGGGAGTTATGACGACTCTGCAGCAGCGTTTTAAGTGTCTGTGACACAATTTTGAAACAAATACTAGATCCCCAAATTGTAATGATAACGCGCTTAACATGAGCAAAGAACACCAGGGGCGTGAATGCGTACGGGCAGGAAGCAAATACGCGTGTTGATGACGCCCGTGACCTGATGGGGCTGGACAGGTGCTCGTCTGTGGCCTTCCTGACCTCTGCCCCGTCGCACAGCTCCCCTGAGCGGTCCGGGGCGACCCCCAGACGGTAAGTGCGCGTCCTCACGCACACCCAGTTCCCCGTGCGGAAGGAGGCAGCGCTCACGGGACTGACTTCTTTACTGACGACGGCAGCTGAGTGGCCGTCCTGGAGGTTTCTGCTTTGCTCTGCTCAACTTCCCGACGAACAGGACTTGATTTTGGCAGGAGACAGAAGTCAGGCCTATCCCTGCCCCTCGTCCTGTGGCGACTGCCGGTGGGGGCAGGGGAGGTCACACCTGATACAGGGGTCTCCGGGGCACACTCCGGGGCAGACACTCCGCGTCTGTGGCTTCACGTGTCGGACAAGCCAGCGCTCCGCGGGCCACACTCGCCCGCCAGCCCCACGCCCCTCATCCCACGAGCGCGCTGTGAGCAGCGCCAGGTCGGCGAGGAACCATTTGTCCCTCGGACCCGCGGGAGGAGGAATGAGGCCGGAGCGTGAAACCTTCCCGGAGCTGAGGGGCCTCGCCGGCCACAGCCCTGGAGGACGGACGGTCTGGTCCAGCGGCTGTCTGATGGGAGCCCACCCGCCCCTGAGGGAGGGCCCCGCGGCCCGCAGGAGGGTGTGGGGCGGCGGGCAGCTCTCTCCGCGAGTGCATTCTGTCTGCACAGGAACCTGAGGACGCCGCCTGGGGCGCGGGCGGCTCCCACCACGCCTGCAGGTGCTCGGCCGTGTCGCTAGGGCTGTCGGCTGGAGAGGTGGAGGGGGTGGGCTTTGACCTGATTTAAAATTCCAACTTATTTTAATCTAGTGGTCGATGCCGACGTCCACATGGGCTTTATCACCTCCGCTTCTCACACGAGGAAGCTGATCTGGGGACTCAGGCAAGTGAAGTAACAGGCCCTGTTCCCCCAGACCCGAGAAGAGACCTGTGCCCAGCCCGGCGGCCCTGAGCCCGAGGCTCTGACCTGCTGTGTGTGAGCGCATCTCGGTGGGGAGGACCAGGCGCCCTGGGCGGCCCTGGTGGGGGGCTCACCTCTGCCCTTCCCGAGGGCAGGCCCACCGGGAGTGTCACTGGTGTGACCTTCACACTCAAGTCGCCTCACTGCCCCTGGCGCCACCACACGCGTGAAGACACGGTGGGAATCACTACCCTTGGAAGCCCAGATGCTGTTGTCCGTCACGGCCGTCTGTGAACTTTCCAGGGAGAGCTGGCAGTGCGCCCACGCACGGGCGATGAACTCCACTTTGAACTTCACGAGTGGTGGTCCTCGTCCCACCACGGGCCACGCCCACTGACGAGACCACCAAACGTCCTGACAAAAACTCAGGTTGTTTCCTGTTTTCTCCTGAACAAATCCTGCCCCCGGGAACATTCCTGCTGGTGTCTGCCCCTCGAGCACAGGTACTTGGATTCCCCGGCCTTTCAGGTGGAACAGACAATGACAGGCGGCCCCTGCGCAGGGCCCGGACAGCGAGGGGAATGCCGGTGGGCTCCCACCTGGGGGGGGCGC